GGGTCTTGCTGTGATCCTCACATCTGGGCATCCTGATTCCCAGCGTGTCGAGGACGTGAAAGTCGGGACCCGGCCTGAAACCCAGGCCCATCCTTCCGGCGCAGTCCAACGCTCTGCCGCCGAGGATCAGTCCGTGCCAATCGGACGTCCCCCTGGCTGCGATTTTGCATCGCACGAAAATTTCAGTGTTGGGGCGACAGTCGTCCGCCGTCCTGCCTTCCAGCAGCGTGACGCGCAAGACTGCTGCCCCCTTCAGAGGAACGGGGGCTCCCGAAGCAATGCCATGCACGTATTCGGGGTGGACCCACTTTTCGAGTCTCACGACCGGGAAGCCGGGATCTTCGGTGCCGATCCCCAGCTCTGCAGCCCGGTTCATCATGCCCACCACGAGTTCCTCTGTCACGTGGTTTGCGCCGGCGCATCCGTCGAGCATGCACTCGACCTTACGGTCGAGCACCTGGACTACCGTTCTGTACTGGTAGCCTCCTGGCTCGTTGTCCGCCAGGTTCCACCAGTCCTTCGGCAGATCGTCCAGGGTGGCGAACTTGTCCCGCCCGCCCTTGCTCAACGGAAGCGCGTGCTGCTGCACCGCGGCGCGTCCTGCGGCTCCTGAGACGCCTGCCTGGACGCCTGAGCTGCCTATCTGGACACTGAACGCGGCGAAGGGGTTGGACATGGAAGCACCGGAGGGCGGGGCCCAGTTGGCAGGCAAGGCCGGCGTCCCTCCTGAGGTCGTCAGGTTGTGGACCATGTCGCAGCTGGCTCCCTTCTTGCACGACCCATTCTTGGAGAAAAAGGGGCAAACAGTGCCTGGTGGCTTTGCCGCGCCTTTGGCCGCAGCCTTAGGCTTTGCGTTGGCCTTTGCCTTGCCACCTCCCTTCCCCTTGCCCTTACCTTTCGCCGTGGCAAAGGTTTGGTCACCCTTCTTGGCCGCGAGAGCTTTTCTGCGAAGCTCCTTGTCGTGGCTGTACGGGCAGGCGTCCCCTTTCGGGCAATTCCCGTGGTCGCGAAAGTGGAAGCAGATCTTCTTGTCCGCTCCTTTGCCAGCTCCCTTCGACGCAGCGGCAAACGTCTGGTCCGCGCCAGCTTTGGCCGCGGCAGCTGCTCCTTTCGCAGCAGCCTTGGCGGCGGCCTTGAGGCTCTTAATCTCCTTCTGAGCCTCGGCTAGCGCGACCGACGGGTCCGCGCTCGGAGAGCCGGTCGCTGAGTACACAGAGTGGGAAACAGCCCGGTGAGCTGCTTCCCTCTGTTCGTACTCCAAGACGACCTTGTGGCTCTCCTCCCAAGTCTGCGGCCCTCGCAGCCCGCCATCCTTGGGATCGCCGGGCCACAACCGCTTGTCGTTACGTATCTCCTTTTGGAGATACGGGGGCATCTTGCGGAGGTACGAGAGATACAACTCTCGTGGGGTCTTCCCAAGACCCACCGCCTCAAGGTCCGCGATCGATGCCTCAAACAAAGGCTCGAATTGGTGGCCTGTGAGCTTGCCCTTAGCGAGGGAGGCATGCTCACCATCCACGCGGACTTCTCTTTCCTCCCGCGATTCCCCGAACATCAAGTGCTTGTTCTTGATGCGGTCGTACACCGCCTGTGGATCGGAGAGAACCTCTCCCGACTTCCACGCTGCGCGGTACGCGTTCGTGTACGTCTTCATGCGCGAGCCGCGGCAGCGCCCGCGTAGCGCTAGCAGCTTCTCGCGCGCACTCATACCGCGACAGTTGTTGGCCAGCGCGCAGACGTCCTCGAACTCCTCGTAGAACAGGACAACGTCTCGCGCGTCCGACTTGTCGTCGGTCAGCGTCGGCCACGTGAGGTCAGTTTTGACCGTCGTTATGGAGCTTTGCCCGCCCCTCTGCGCCAACGCTTCTTTCAGCGCTTCAGTTTGGGCGGCGAGTGCGGCGGCGAAATCGCCCGCCGGGTTTTGGGACCCGGTCTGCGAACCTCCGCCGTCTGAACCTCGCTTCAGGGCTTCTATCTCCATCTCCAGCGCCGCAAGCTTCGCGCGCAAAGGGGAATCGCCGTCCGTCGCGCCCAGGACACGGGCCGCGGAAGGACCACCTGCAACCTCTGCAGTGTGCAAACCTCCACGGTCCAATCCTACCCCCAACCCACTTGCAGTCGCAGGCTGTGGGAGCCCTGGGGAACGCGGCCCCACGGCTTCAACTGGCACATCGGACGGGGAGCTCCAAACCTTCTCTTGGCTCGAGCTTTCTTTTCCCCCTAACGCGAGGATAAGCTCCCCGATGCATTGGATTTCGCGCTGAATCTCCTCTGCGTCTTCGGGGTCCTCGCCACCGCGCAAAGCCGCGACCGAGAATCTGGTCCGCAGCCGACGGACCATCTTTGTCGGATGCCAGTCCCCGCCTATTTTGGAGAACTCATCCGCAAGGAGGGTGGCTTTGGTGCTTAAGGCGTCAAGGTCACGGGAGCTCACCGTGACTCCATGCGCTTTCAGCGCGAGGACAATCCGCGAAACGCGCGTCAAGTAGTCCGCGACCGGTTCTTGGTCTGGACGGAAAATCGCGCGCAGCTCCGCCTGCAAGCCCTCTGCGGTGCCTGGCACCGAACCTGCTGTCGACGGCGGACCGGACGGTCCCGCCGGGCGGGACCCTGGTGCCGTAGCAGGGACATAGGCAGCACCGGTAGGGACCATGGCCAGCTCCCTAGCCGCGGCGCTGACGTCCACCCGCGGCGGACTGTCGCCTCCAGCGCCCGAGGCCTCAGGGACTAGCTCGGAGTCCTCTTCTTCTTCCTCCTCATCCTCGTCCTCGTCTTCGGCGTCATGGAGGAACTTCATGACTTTTCGCCAGAGAGCCGCCTCTTGCTCTGGCGTAGTGCTAACCCCATCCCGCTTGGACAACGGACGGCTGCCAGTCTCCCTACGCCACTTAAGCCAAGCGACGTAGCTCATCCGCTCGGGATAGGGGACGTCTCCACCCTCGATAGCTTCGAGGAGGGTGACGCCCTCGGCCTGACCTGCTACCTCTGCGGACATTGCCGCGCCTTGGTAAACAGGCCGCAGGCGTGGCACGCGAAGCGCCGCGCCTTGGTTAACAGGCCGCAAGCGTGGCACACAGTCCACGCGTCCAGGTCACGGACCGCGACAGACAAGCAAAGCAATGCTTGCCCACTCGGGCCGTAGGCACAAGAGCTGTACTTTCCCAGAACAGCCCCCAATTGTGAAGTCGACCAGCACTGGACTTGCACTAAGCCAATGCAATCACAGCCCGGTCACGCTGTTTTACGACTTCGCGAGTTCAAGCACTTGTGCAGCTACGCCTGAGTGCGTCCGGTCGGACCGCACAGCAACCTAAGAGCTACTGTACGACTCTACCGTGCTCAAAGGCACAAGCTCGGTACTTGAGCCAAAATTGGCATTGAAACGAATTGCAAACCTACACATGCAAAGAAGACTACAGTACTGGTCCTGGCAGCTCTGCACATGCAACGTGCGTGCTTAGACCTGCTCACAGCGTGCGCTGCCCGCCCATGGGCGCAGCCCCTTAAAATACTATAGTATACTATAATATACTATAATATACTATGATATACTATAATATACTATAGTATACTATAGTATACTATAGTATACTATAATATACTGTAATATACTACAATATACTATAATATACTATAATATACCATACTATACTACACGATAATACACTTTCATATTCTATGATAACCTTGCATAATGAAATTGCCGCCAAGGCGGCACTACTGACCGTGGTACTGGGCACGTATACAATTCGCACACTGCGCACGTAGCCGGATGTAGTTACTTCAAAGCCTGCGTGTCCGCGAGGAGATGCCACATCGCAATGGCTTGACCCTTCGGGCTGCAACCCCGTTTTCGGGATACCTATGCTAGACGCCGACGGCTAGCCACAGTTCACCTTGAGATGTGCAAGACTCACACGAAGACAATTTGAAGTAATGCTGGTAATGCCGTCTGATGCTCTCGCAACTTCTGCGCGCAGTCTTCTGCGCCACACAGCTTGTTGATTACCGAAACTGATGGGCCTGCATGAGTTTTACTCGGCCAGGAAAGAAAAGCCATGAAACAACTGCTCCGCTGGGTTTTTGGGGTTTAGGGTAGCTGCTTCTAGCTTTGAGCGCAAGCCCCCGACTGCTTTTTGGTGATGGATCTGTCGGGCTGTCGGGCGAAGGCGAGTGCTTAAACCCCGAGTTTAGGGTTTAGGGTTTAGGGCCCCCCCTGAGTTAGAGAGACTGTGCGGCAGTTTACTTTTTTGCGGCATCAAAGCACAACTCCCTTCCGTAGCGGCGCGGTATGCAGCTTCTGTGCTCGGGCATTGGCTCCGTACCGCTTGGATGGCGTCAGCTTGCTCTGCTACCATTGCGCAAATCAAAGACTCGACGATGTTGCGGAGGAGCATGCTGTTCCAGTCAGACCCGAAAATGCTGCCAGGTCCAGTCGCCCGGGAGTGGTGGGGTCTGCAAGGCAGAAACTGGCGTTTATGAGGAAGGGAAGCGAGCTTGCGACTGGCGCTCCCTGGAGGCACAGAGCCAGACCTGCGAATGGTACTAGCCAAAGCCAGTCTCCTCCGAAACGCCAAGCGCGGACTTCCACTGCTCATCTTCCGGATTGTCATGCTGGAGGAATCGCCAGGTTTCCAGAACCTCACTGGGCTCGTACGGCGCTAGATTTTGAAGATCTGGCGGAGGGCTCCAGCGCACGGAGATAACAACGTTGAAACTGATTGAAACTGACATAAGGCCGCGTCTCCAAGTCTGTCGCTGGCTGGACACCCAGTCGGCTGAGGTGGTCGGAGATGAACGACTGCTTCTCCTTGCTCTTTCTGAGGCGACCGGGAAGCAAACATACGGCGGTATTCCAGCGCCCACGAAAGTGAACATCAGATGGGCCCAAAGAAGCTGGCACGCTGGACCGACGCTGGATTGCATGATGTGAACTTGCACCGAGGCTGCAGGCGTAGCATTGGAGCCAGCATCTGAAGCAATCCAGCAAAGCCTTGCGCTCAGCACGTGCTGCCAAAATACACCAAACACTCGGCATCTGCGTCTTTGAAGGCCTTGAGGTAGGTCGGTGCCTCTTCTGCTGACACAACCGTCTTGCTGATCTCATCATCTGCCTTCTGTAGGAGTGCTTTGAAAAGGCCTAGATCTTGACTAGACGCTTGGTCCTTCGTCGGCCATCGCCAGCATTCGCCAGCGTTCGCCAGCGCTTCCGCTGCAACCTGCTTGCTGAGACCTTGCACCTGCAGTGTTTGGGCAACCTCGTTGGAAATACTTGGGTGATCTTTGTTGAACCCAGTCGAGCCCACTTGCCACGGCCCTGCTCCGCTTTTGTTGCTTCTTTTCTGATAGCCATCGCATGTTGTCGCATGTACACCGGGTTGGAAGGCCGCAGAGTGCCCTGCCCCGGTCCCGTCTCCTCTCTCCATGGCCACGAAGGCAACGAATACGCTCGGATACACTCAGAGACATGGCAAGCTGAACAGATGTCTCAGTCTCAGTCAGCGGATGCTCCCAGCGTCAGCGCTCCCAGCCGCTCCCCGCCGCTCCCAGCGGTGTTCTCCATGCTTTGCTGTGCGTCGCCGTCATCTTCGCTGACTTCCCTGCAGAGGGTACACCAGGTACACGCGTTGGTACAAACAGTTGGCAAACGGGCCCGTTTGCCAACTGTTGTACCAACGCGTCCGATTGGCAAATGTTGTCAAAGCAGATCCCGTATCTTCTCGGGTGTCAGAGGTATTCGCAGACCACCTGACAGTCGGATAGCACTCAACTGTGACCATGCGCAAACAACTCTTTGGCCTTCTGGCACATTTGTTGTCTCTCCAAGTCGAGCACTGGGACGGCTCCAGAAATCCAGAAATCCTTCAAGACCATTTCAGATGGCCGCCAAAGCTTCTGTGCATAAAGTCACCCAGGGGGAGGAATTCCACAAGAAGAAACTGGCCCTTGCTTTTGAAACCTCTTTGTTTTTTCTGAAGGCTTGGGTGGGGCTGGCTTGGGCAGCTGCAGGCCGCAATTGAAGAATTGAAGGCGTCAAGGAAGGCCTGTCGTTGAGCTCCTTCCGCACCGAGGGGTTTGGCCACATGAACATCTAAGCCCTGATTCAACAGTGACTTAACAGCGACTCCACACAGTGGTCTTTAATAGTCTTAATGGTCTCTAGGCCTGAGCGTGGACATGCTCGACATAGTGGAGGGTGTCCTCCCGCACGGCACGGGCCTGCAAACGCCAGAAGAAACCCGACTCAACCCGATTCCAACGCCTCAAGCCCTGAGATTCCGGGCCTGCCTGTTCACGGGCGCTGCCGCCCCCGCGCTCGAAAAGTGCAGTGGATGCAGCCCCTCGCTGATGTGGGATGGCGCTGCCCCACACTTGCCATGCGAAAAGGATCTCCGACATATTGCCGGAGCTGCAGGGGCTTAGAAGACGACTACTTGCTACATGCTACTTGCTACTTGCTACTTGCTACTTGCTACCTCCTACTTCCTACTGCGTACTGCTTACTGCTAACTGCTTACTGCTTACTGCTTACTGCTAACTACTAACTACTAACTACTAACTACTAACTACTACCTACTACCTACTACCTACCAACTACTAACTACTAGCTACTACCTACTAACTACTAATTACTAACTACCAACTACTAACTACCAACTACTAACTGCTAACTGCTAAGTGCTAACTACTAGGTTCGCGGTTGATTCCCGCGCATGGTACAAAAGGCATGTTCTCAAGAACGGACGTGCAGAAAACATCGGCAGGGTGGGTTTTCAGGAGTAGAGGAAGATTTTTGCCATTTTGGGGGGCATGCTATTTCTAGTTGGTTTTGGTGATTTTTGTAAAGTGACTCTCAGGGTAAGCCGAAAACATCGGCAGGCATGGGTTTTTTTAGCACTGCAGGAAAAGCTGGTCCGTTTTGGCGGGCATTTTGTTTTGTTTCTTTTGAAGTCACTGTGAGGACATGCCGAAAACATCAGCAGGCGTGGGTTTTCAACAGTGGAGGAAAACTTTGTCTACTTTTGGGAGGCATGCTATTCGCCTAATTAGCTACAATAGTTTTCGTGAAGTGACTCTCGCTGTATTTATGGGGTAGAGATTTTGGAGTGGAAGGCCGGGGCATGGGTTTTATGTTGAAGGTTTTTTCTTGCAGGGTAACGCCGTAAATACCAGTGTTTTGGGCATAAGAAGCTGTAAATACCAGTGTTTTTGGGCATGGTCGCGAAAGGCATGGACGCTTGTGATAGATTTTCTTGTTCCACATCCTTGTGCAGTATGTAGTACAAAGAGGCGAAAACGCTGCAAAAACATCAGTGTTTTGGGCATAAAACGCTGTAAATTACCGGTGTTTTTGGGCACGGTCGCGAAAGGCATGGATGCTTGTGATAGATTTTCTTGTTCCACATCCTTGTGCAGTATGTTGTACAAAGAGGCGAACACGCTGTAAAAAACACCAGTCGTTTGCGCATGGACGCAATATGAATGACGTTCTTATCCCCACCCCCCCCACCCCCACCCCCCCCACCCCCCCCCCCACCCCCCCCCCCACCCACCCCCCCCCCCCCACCCCCCCCCCCCCCCCCACCCCCCCCCACCCCCCCCCCCACCCCCCCCCCCCACCCCCCCCACCCCCCCCCCCCCCACCCCCCCCCCCCCACCCCCCCCACCCCCCCCCCCACCCCCCCCCCCACCCCGAAAAAGTGCCAAAAGTGCCTGAAACTACACGCGCGGGCACGCGCCGCACTCCAACTACTAACCACTACTAACTACTAACTACTGACTACTGACTAATCCGCCAAGGCCTCGGGCCGGAGGTGTAGAGGTTGTCAGACAGGCACCCCCCTCCAAATCCTTTTTCGGACCCCTTTTTTGGCCTCAAATGGGTACCCCCCTGGGAAACCGGGGTCCGCAAGCGGACGGTTCGCCAGGACCAGAGGCAGTTGAAGCCCCTCCCAGCATAACCCCAGACCACCCCGCCCCCCCACCCCCCGACCCCCCATTTCGCCCCCACCCCCTACCCCCCCCCTCCCCCCCCCCCACCCCACCTCCCCCCACCCCACCTCCCCCCCCGAAGAGTCGCCTTAAACCTTAAGGGGCCTGGCTCAACCCGATCACTCCAAGCGGAACCCTAAACCCAAAAAAACCCTCAACCCCAAAGCGTGAACCTTGAGCCCTAAACTAACCCTCAACCCCAAACCCCAAACCATAAACCATAAACCCGGAACCCTCAACCCTCAACCCTCAACCCAACCCTTATTGCTTGGGGTCCAGCGACTTGGGCGCTGCGGAATCACCATGCTCACGCGGATGCGCTGGGCCGGGCCGAGGCGGGTCGCGTAGCGTTAAAATTACTAACTATTAATCCGCCGAGGCCTCGGGCCGAAGGTGTATAGGTTCAGAACAGGCACCCCCCTCCAAATCCTCCTCCCAAGCGCCGCTACCCCTCGTTTCGCCACACCCCCCACCCCCCCCACTGTGGAAACGCTTTGTGTGTCTCGGCTAAGCGGAGGCGGTGACGAGAACGCGAAAACGCGAAAAACGCGAAAAACACGAAAAACGCGAAAAACGCGAAAAGCGCGAAAAGCGCAAAAAACTGTTTTTCTCGTTTTTTGTGTCTTGTTTTTTGAGCTTTTCTTGTTTTTCGACTTTTTGCGTTGTTCTTGCTTTTTACGTTTTTCGACTTTTTGCCCGTCTCGACGCAGACTCCGGCACGGTACGACGCGCGAAATGTTTCCGTAGACCGCCCCCCCCCCCCCCCCCCCCCCCCCCCCCCCCCCCACACTGCCACCAAGGAACCTTCAACCCCAAACCCAAAAACCCTTTACCCAAACCGTGAACCTTGAGCCCTAAGCCCTCAACCCTAAACTAACGCTCAACACAACCCTAAACCCCGAACCATCAACCATAAACCCGGAACCCTAAACCCTAAACCCTATAAACCCAACCCTTATTGCTTGGGGTCCAGCGACTTGGGCGCTGCGGAATCACCATGCTCACGCAGATGCGCTGGGCCAGGCCAAAACGGGTCACGTAGCGTTAAAATTACACAAAGTCGGCGTTTGTGGTTACATGAGTAGTGTTTACCAGCTACTTCACCAGAGCGTGTGCTTTCCAGAGCGCAGCGCAGAGGATGCTCCATAGGTCTCCGTATAGCCTCCTCCGTTTCCCTTCCGGAGCCTGAGGAGGGGCCCTCACTAGGCTCACTAAAGGCCCTAGGCACTGGCGCCCGCTTGGCGCAGGCTCTTCGAGATGCGGCGATCTTGCCGCATCTCGCTGCATTCCGCACAGCTTCAAAGGAGGCCGCAGAAGATGCGATAGAAGCTTCGAAAAGTGCAGATTCGGCTCTTCACTCTTTGGAAGCATGGTGCTTCAGCGTTTGAACCGTTCCCGAAGCCTACTGCGTGAACGTGTCATCCGGCGCACCTCCGCCAATCAGTTCCTGCGCCTCGCAGCAATGTACAGTAATCAGAGAAAAACTCTCTCAGAACAAAGTGTGGTGTTTCTCTCGGTGTTTCTTTCAATTCCTTTCTTTTCTTTCTCCATCGTTGAGAGTGCATGTCCGAGCCTCTCCGGCCCAGATCCAGGCCACTTCCTTGCGGCGCGTCAAAAGCCGGAGTGGCAGGCCCCGGCCTCGGCTCTCAAAGGATTTGTAACCCAAGCCTCTTTGATTCTTTGATCCTCTTTGCCTCAAATCTGAGCATCTCAGCATCTCAGCACTCTCTCAGCCCTCCGAGGCTCTGGCGGCCGGGCACCTTGATTTCGGTGCCGTACTCGGCCTGCTTTTGCTGGTGACATGTGAAAGCCCCGGGGGGGGGAATCTGCGAGGAGATGTCAATGAATGACACGTGCAAAAGCAGCACAAGGCAGAGTGGAGAGTGCCTCCATGATGTCCTCAGCCGCTTTCCGCAACTCTGCCGGATCGCTATTCAGGGCCTTGCGGAACTCCTTGCGCACGGCACTGGGCGGTGCTGGGCAGCTGTCAGCTCTGCAATAATGATCGATAATGATACGTTCTGAATGGCCGTCCTCCTCCTTCTCCCGTTGCTCCTTGTGAGCTTCCCTCGCACGCGCCAGCATCTCCTCCCGCTCGACCCTTTCCTTCTCCTCTATCGACATGCAAACAAGTCTGAGTCGTTCTAGGCCAATCCAACTGTGAACATCCGCGGTGCGCGGATGGCTCCTGGAATAGGCACTGTCTTCTAATGGTGTGAAGCAGTCTATAGAAAAGACAAAGAGAAAGAGAGAGAGTGAGAGAGAGACAGAGAAAGAAAGCAAGAAAGAAAGAAAGAGAGCGAGAAAGAGAGACAGAGAGTGAGACAGAGAAAACAGTAATGCTCATCGCGAACCCTAGGCCACTCTTCAGCCGACACCAGCCCCAAAGCAGAGGGGGAGCGCTACACTCCAGAGTGTGTAGCAGTGAGGCAGATAACAATACCGCTAGTAACACAGGACATGCACAACATTGACCGTGCCTCCCGAATGGCCTTCTCTTCGGCTTGCCGCTGGGCCTCCTCGGCAGCCTCTTTGGCCACCTTCGCACTGAGGAACAAAATGACTTCAACCACGATGCCCACGATCTGAGGGAAATGAGCCAAGAGGGTCAAGAAACCTCTGATCCCCAGCCCAAGCAGGAGCACGTCGACTGCAGCATTCCTTGCTTTCTTTTCGACACTGGCGGGCCGAAGACAACAAAGGCGCGTATGGCTGCATCCAAGATTTCCCGGGAGCCAGTCCTTGGGAAACCAAGGGAGGTCAACGGAAAATCCCCACTAACACCATACTCTCAGTAATATGCCTAGATGCGCCAGAGAAAACACGAATGCTTGCAAGCCAGGTCTCAAGCTGCGGGCCTGAAAAGCGTCGTCTAGGGCACAAAGTCGGGTGGCCGTAATCAGCTCAGCAGAGGCCTGGGGTGAAGAGTTTCGAGGCCTAGCATTTCCAATATTTAGGGATTGAATCAACAAGGTGGAATATGGGACAATACGTAGATGTACATACAAGGCAAAGCCAAGTCAAGACGAGGTGAAACAAAAGGAAGCGGAAAGGCAAATAAAAGGCACACAAAAAGGGAAACAAATGGTACAACAGATGTAATTCCAAGATTCGTTAAAAGGGAAACATGCCTACTCACCTTTGCTTGGCGTACCTAGTCGCCTTCGTTTCGCGGTACGTAATCGTCACCTTTGTTGTATGTACACATGTCCCTTTGCGCTTTCCCTGTGACATCACCTTTAATTCACCTTCTTATTTCATCTTGGCTACCCTAAAAACCTAGACCCGAATGTCTTAAGCCTGGGGCAACCGATGGCAACCAGCAATCGCTACTTTCAGCAACAACTTGACCTGGACATTCGAACGGCCAGAAGAGTCCCCACAGAAAGGGGGACGCATCTCTCCCCATCTTCCAGAGCCTCCGGGGCGCCGCGGCGCAGGTTCCGTCGAGTCCAGGCCTCGGGGTTTGACTTTCCACGTGTAAAAAAAATGACTTCGAGAGTTGCTTCTCTCTCTTGGGGGAGATTGGGGGGGAGTAGTGCTTTGATTCGAGAAGTCTCTTCACTTTCACTTTCGAGACCCACGCCGCCAGGGATCGAAGGAAGCCGCTGGGCAGACATCCTCAGGTGAAAACATGGAGACAAGCGCTTGCCCAAGCTAATCCGAGCATCCGTTTAAGCAATACACTCACATTTAATTCTTTCGTCGAGAAGCCCGCCGGAAGACTACAGTACTTTCCAATACGGGGATATTCGTATGGGCAATACCACCACATTTAAACAATGTGTTTGGGGGGTTCAGGCAGGCTTCGTTTCTTACTTGCTGAGCTGCAGCTTAGACTATCGTTTTTAATAGAGAATCAATACATTGCCATGGTCTCATTATTGCGGCGCCCTGCGTTTCGGATTGCGGTGGGGGGGGGGGGGGGGCCGGCAATTAAACAGATGCTCGGATTAATTACTGTACAGCCTTCAGAGCATCTTGGGTTTAAAAACTATTCGGCTTTGAATCAACTTGAAGCAATCTGAATGGGAGACTGTCCTTTGGCAGATAGCAGCTCAAAGCCTCGAAGCATCGCCGTTGGCAACATCCTCTTGTGAACTCCAATTTGCAGCATTTGCATGCTTTTGTCGAGGGCCGGGCACTCGAAAGGATCGTCGAACTCCGCGGCAGGATCACCGAGCAACTTTCAAGGAACATCAGGGAACATCAGGGAACACTGTCCCAGCAAAGACGACCCTTTCACGAACGGGGGCCTCTAACCTTTGCACGAAACTGTCGAGAAGGGCCTCAGTTGGGCCGTGACAGATAGTGTATAACGGAGCACACAAAGCCCACAACCCTTCACCTAACTGCTCTATCGTGGCTTTGCAAGATCTGTTCTGTAGCTCTCTTGGTTGGACGCGAGACTGTCAAAACCGCCCTATTGCGACAGAGAATGCAAAACAGCAGCGTCTGGAACTGGGAAAAGTGCGAACCTCAGCCTCCAGCTGATTCTGCCACCTCGCTCCTCAAAACCCATGGGGCCAATGCCTTGCAACTTACATTGCTAATGCTGCAGGTCTTCTTCTTGTTTTCGCTTGTCTTTTGATGGATAGTTTTTGTCGTTGTTTTTGGAGAGGTTGCTTGCGCTAGCTGTTCAGCGAAAGGTGGAAGACAGAATGAAAGGAACACAGGTTTCAAGTTGGGCCCAAGAGGGGCATCTTGGCCGAATCCAGCTTTCCAAAAGCATCTTGGCCGAATCCAGGGTTCAAGTTGGGCCCAAGAGGGGCATCTTGGCCGAATCCAGGTTTCAAGTTGGGCCCAAGAGGCCAAGAGGGGCATCTTGGCCGAATCCAGGGTTCAAGCTGGGCCCAAGAGGGGGCATCTTGGCCGAATCCAGGTTTCAAGCTGGGCCCAAGAGGGGCATCTTGGCCGAATCCAGGGTTCAAGTTGGGCCCAAGAGGGGCATCTTGGCCGAATCCAGCGTTCAAGTTGGGCCCAAGAGGGGCATCTTGGCCGAATCCAGGGTTCAAGTTGGGTTCAAGAGGGGGATCTTGGCCGAATCCAGGGTTCAAGTTGGGCGCAAGAGGGGCATCTAGGCCGAATCCAGGGTTCAAGTTGGGCCCAAGAGGGGCATCTTGGCCGAATCCAGGTTTCAAGTTGGGCGCAAGAGGGGCATCTTGGCCGAATCCAGGGTTCAAGTTGGGCCCAAGAGGGGCATCTTGGCCGAATCCAGGTTTCAAGTCGGGCCCAAGAGGGCATCTTGGCCGAATCCAGGGTTCAAGTTGGGCTCAAGAGGGGCATCTTGGCCGAATCCAGGGTTCAAGTTGGGCCCAAGAGGGGCATCTTGGCCGAGTCCAGGTTTCAAGCTGGGCCCAAGAGGGGCATCTTGGCCGAATCCAGGGTTCAAGTTGGGCCCAAGAGGGGCATCTTGGCCGAATCCAGGGTTCAAGTTGGGCCCAAGAGGGGCATCTTGGCCGAATCCAGGTTTCAAGTTGGGCGCAAGAGGGGCATCTTGGCCGAATCCAGGGTTCAAGTTGGGCCCAAGAGGGGGCATCTTGGCCGAATCCAGGTTTCAAGTTGGGCTCAAGAGGGGCATCTTGGCCGAATCCAGGGTTCAAGCTGGGCCCAAGAGGGGGCATCTTGGCCGAATCCAGGTTTCAAGTTGGGCGCAAGCAGGGCATCTTGGCCGAATCCAGGGTTCAAGTTGGGCCCAAGAGGGAACACCTTGGCCGAATCCAGGTTTCAAGTTGGGCGCAAGAGGGGCATCTTGGCCGAGTCCAGGGCTCAAGTTGGGCCCAAGAGGGGGCATCTTGGCCGAATCCAGGTTTCAAGTTGGGCGCAAGAGGGGCATCTTGGCCGAATCCAGGGTTCAAGTTGGGCGCAAGAGGGGGCATCTTGGCCGAGTCCAGGTTTCAAGTTGGGCGCAAGAGGGGCATCTTGGCCGAATCCAGGGTTCAAGTTGGGCCCAAGAGGGGGCGTCTTGGCCGAATCCAGGTTTCAAGTTGGGCGCAAGAGGGGCATCTTGGCCGAATCCAGGGTACAAGTTGGGCCCAAGAGGGGGCATCTTGGCCGATTTCAAGTTGGGCGCAAGAGGGGCATCTTGGCCGAATCCAGGGTTCAAGTTGGGCCCAAGAGGGGGCATCTTGGCTTGGCCGAATCCAGGGTTCAAGTTGGGCCCAAGAGGGGGCATCTTGGCCGAATCCAGGTTTCAAGTTGGGAGCAAGAGGGGCATCTTGGCCGAATCCAGGGTTCAAGTTGGGGCATCTTGGCCGAATCCAGCTTTCAAGTTGGGCTCAAGAGGGGCATCTTGGCCGAATCCAGGGTTCAAGTTGGGCCCAAGAGGGGGCATCTTGGCCGAGTCCAGGTTTCAAGTTGGGCGCAAGAGGGGCATCTTGGCCGAATCCAGCTTTCAAGTTGGGCTCAAGAAGGGCATCTTGGCCGAATCCAGGGTTCGAGTTGGGCCCAAGAGGGGGCATCTTGGCCGAATCCAGGTTTCAAGTTGGGCGCAAGAGGGGCATCTTGGCCGAATCCAGCTTTCAAGTTGGGCTCAAGAGGGGCATCTTGGCCGAATCCAGGGTTCAAGTTGGGCCCAAGAGGGGGCATCTTGGCCAAATCCAGGTTTCAAGTTGGGCGCAAGAGGGGCATCTTGGCCGAATCCAGCTTTCAAGTTGGGCTCAAGAGGGGCATCTTGGCCGAATCCAGGGTTCAAGTTGGGCCCAAGAGGGGGCATCTTGGCCGAATCCAGGGTTCAAGTTGGGCCCAAGAGGGGCATCTTGGCCGAATCCAGGTTTCAAGTTAGGCCCAAGAGGGGCATCTTGGAGGGGCATCTTGGCCGAATCCAGGATTCAAGTTGGGCCCAAGAGGGGCATCTTGGCCGAATCCAGGTTTCAAGTTGGGCGCAAGAGGGGCATCTTGGCCGAATCCAGGGTTCAAGTTGGGCCCAAGAGGGGCATCTTGGCCGAATCCAGGTTTCAAGTTGGGCCCAAGAAGGGAAGCTTGGCCGAATCCAGGGTTCAAGTTGGGCCCAAGAGGGGCATCTTGGCCGAATCCAGGTTTCAAGTTGGGCCCAAGAGGGGCATCTTGGCCGAATCCAGGGTTCAAGTTGGGCCCAAGAGGGGCATCTTGGCCGAATCCAGGTTTCAAGTTGGGCCCAAGAGGGGCATCTTGGCCGAATCCAGGGTTCAAGTTGGGCCCAAGAGGGGCATCTTGGCCGAGTTGGGCGCAAGAGGGCATCTTGGCCGAATCCAGGGTTCAAGTTGGGCCCAAGAGGGGCATCTTGGCCGAATCCAGGGTTCAAGTTGGGCCCAAGAGGGGCATCTTGGCCGAATCCAGTTTTGAAGTTGAGCCCAAAAGCGGGCGCAGGAGGGGCATCTTGGCCGAATGCAGCTTTGAAGTTGGCCCCGAAAAGGGGGATCTTGGCCGAATCCAGGTTTCAAGTGTTGGGCGCAAGAGGGGATCTTGGCCGAATCCAGGTTTCTCAAGTTGGGCTCAAGAGGGGCATCTTGGCCGAATCCAGGGTTCAAGTTGGGCCCGAGAGGGGGCATCTTGGCCGAAT